CTGTCCAACTGAGCGTACTGTCCTCAACTTAGGCTGAGCGGAGAATGGCAAGGCTCACTGATGATGCCGGTGAAACGTTTGAGAATCTATCAAGTCCACTCTCAGATGCTGGGAATCCAGACAACTACTATTGCAGACAACTTCGGACTCGGTGCGTTCTACATAGTCCCACTGAACACAAGACCAAATTGCGACAACAAGGTCAACCCACTTATATAAATCGAAAGGAGACTGCGACCCTAAAATAGGCCACCACATCTTGGTCTTCATATCTTTATTGGCTTTGATTTGAGTTTTATTTTGACATTACAAAGTTTCATTGTAGTAAAGACGTCTTGGAATGATCACAATTATATTTTCGTCTTCTAGTTTCATTTTGCTCTCTAAATTAAGTTTGATTTACTATCTTCCCGGTCATTGGACAATTATCTTGTGTTGAGAGACAATTAGAAGGATTTATACATTTTTATTGGTGTTACTCACAACTTGTAGGCTATGTCTGATTGCTTTGCTTTTTTTCTTCGGAGCAGCTTGCACCTGGCCTTCCCCCTAACTTTGCCGAAGATGAGACAGCCCGTTTACGCCATGAGGCTGAAATTTTGGCTGCCAAGTCGGCCGCTTTAGACGCTGAACGTAAACTTCTTGCGGCAAAATTGGCCGTCCTTGCTGCAACCACTAAGCCTAACATCGGCTCAAGAACACTCGAAGGCGGATTAACACTCACTATTGCCCCTGACCCTGCAGTTCTATCTTATGGGCCTTCTGCGTCTTCTGAGACGCCTTTGCGTACAGATATCGCCACTCCAGCTGTTTTACCTGCTCCATTAGTAGATTTACCTGACTTCAACCTTGGGCCACCTTTCGAATTTATTACGCGTCTTCAATCCATGATTGCTAATTCTGCGCTCTCTGCCACTGGAGACGTGTTAACACGTGGACGAACAAATCTACCACTACAAGCACAACAGCCGCACCCACCACCACCACAACCGTTCGCCCAAACCAAGGCATCTGAATCGTCAGAAGTAGTCAGCTCTGGGCCAGTCACTGGTTTTTCCAATGGGTGGGCTTCAGTGGTACGTCACTCTGGTTCACTTGATTGCTCTAATAATTGCCCCACATCTGGACCACTAGAATTCGAACTATCATCTGGCATGACGTCTTCTGCTTCTATTATTTATGCTGAACCTATTGTCCCGACTTCCAGTACCAAAAGCACAGAGTTGTCAACTACCTCACCAGAATCGGCTGATGCTCTTGGTGGTGGCAGTGAGTGTGATTCGGGCGACCCCACTGGCCTTCATTCGGCCCCAGATGAGGCCCTGAGCCATGCTAAGAAAAAAAAGAGAAAACGACAGAAGTCCCACCAGCTCTTTGCTCAAGCGGAAACTTCAGCCCCAACCAATGCATCAAGTGAGAATGATCGCAAGCTTATGCAATCCAGCCCTTCCAAAGGTGATGTGACTCCGCAATATTTACCTTCTGATCGTTGTGAATAATTTCATGTTACCACTGGTATACATACTTAGATTTTGCCTACCTTAGGCTGTAGATTACTCTGACCTACTCTATCAAAATTCATGCGTTTCTTAATCCGCATGTTCCGAGTTCCACTTTCTTAGGGAATAATTACTAGCCCTATACGAGTTTACGCTTGGTATACTCCTATGAGAGCCCTATTTTTGAG